CATGCAGATGGAGGTTCTTTGCTTCTGGGAATACCAGGTGTCTGTGGGTCAGAGGTGGGTAGGGTTAAAGGGGGCCTGGGTAAAAGTGGGGTAGGATGTCTACCATCCAGGGGCTGGATCCCTTTCCCTCTTGCTTTCCAGGAAAACATAGAAGCCAGAAAGGTAAGACAATCTGGTGCCTATAAATAAATGGGAGAGGGGAACCCTCAGTCCCACTGCAGGGAGGAGAAGGCAAAGAATGCCTAGGGGTCTAATCAGACTTAACTCAGGAATACAAGTAGCTGGCTCTGTGACATGAGCTCCTAACTCTGTTCTCGACATGGCTGTGAACTGAGATGCAAACCGTAATAGCCAAAATTGGCAGGCTGAATAAACAGAGGAGATAAACCCCTGATGATAAGAGAGGACTGTCAATGTAGCAGTGGCCACAAAGATCCAGAGCGGTTCTTGACAATCTACACCTCTAAGGACCTGAGTGTCAGAAAGAAGGAAACCCAATCAGAAAGTACAGCCCTGACGTCGGGGAAGACGCCTCATGGCTTCCAAGCGCCTGTCCTTTACTCCCAGGGCAGTCACTGTAACTGAATTTCACCAAGGAGGAAGCTAAGGCTCAGAACAACCTGACCCGCCTGATCAGCTTATCAAGTACAGGGCTGGGGCTAAAATTTAGGTCTGTCAACTTCTAGTCCAAAAACCTTTGTGAATATACCTTAATCCAACAAACATTTGCTGGGAGCCGACTTTTTAAATAATTATAACAACAACAACAACATCTTCCATTTACTGTGAGTTTACCGGGTGCCCATGGGGCTAAGTACTTTTGGTACATCAATTACTTTAAGCCCCAGGAAACCCTCCCAACTTGTACCCAGGTTGTCCAGATGAGGAAACTGAGTCAAAGAAAAGAGAGAGAGAGAGAGACAGATTAATCAGACACTGACTCTGAATAGGAGAACGTATGTGTTTGGGGGTGGGGGGCAACATACACAAAGATCAATTTTCAAATGGCTTGTGGATTCAGTTTAGCCGTTTTATAGTTGCACTTCGAGTGTGTCCCAAGTGAGAATGCAGAACAGGTAAACCAATGGTGGTGGAATCGCGGCTGTAGAGGCGAGATGGAATCAGTCTAAATTTCAGTCGGGCTGTGCGAAATAGACTGTAAAGACAAAAACGAAATTTTGAAAAGCCCAAGGCAGAGCGCTTAGGGAAAGCCAACTGGCGCAACGAAAAAAATACGAAAATTTATCAGAATTCCCCTCCAAGACAAGGGTCACTTCGGGAGTCAACCCGGCGGGTAGACACCAGCCGGGAAAAGAGCATCAGACTCCCGGGGCGCAGAGGCCAGCCAGGCAGGAGAGGGACGTGGATGGGGGGACTCCCCTACTCACGGGCGCTGGGTATCGCAACCAACTCGGATCTTAAGGGGTTTTAGGTGGGCGCCGCGAACGCTCTGAAATTTTGCCAGGATGCTGCACTGTGTGCGCGCATTCGTTTTTCTCAAAGGAATCCCAGACCCTTCCTCAAAAGTTAAGAATCTTGGATTTAGACATTCAGATGAGAATCCGGAAGGAAAGGTGGCAAGAGGTTACCCAATTCCTTACAGAGGTGTCCCTTCTCAGGTCCATTCAGGCTCCTGCCCCAGCTTTCAGGGCCGGGTGAGCGGGGGCGAGGGTGGCGGGGCTACTTGAGAGGTGGATCTAGGAGGCGCCCGGGCTGCTGCCTAAGGGAAGATGGAGGGTGAGAGCTGAGGGGGCCTGAGAGACGAGTGGGGGCAGGCAAAGACAGGCAAGTGGGAGAGTTGAGAGGGTGGGGGAGAGAAGAGGAGGCGGTCACTCAAAAAAAGGCAAGTGGCCGGAGAGAAAGAACCGGAAAGAGACCGAAAGCAAAGGACGGGGGAGGGTGGTGGTGGTGGTGGAGAGAAGCGGCAGGGGTAATAGGGACGGAGGGCAGCAGCCAAGGTAAATTTCTCACGGCCTAGGCCTAGGGGTAGACCGGACACATACTTGGCGCTCAGTCATGTTTCCTTCTTTTCTCTCAGTTCCGGGACAGCGCTGGTGGGCAGAGGGCCGTCGAGGAAAACGGCACCCTAAGGAGACTCGGTATCACCACCAGGCCCCACTCCCTCCTCTATTCCCCAAGGGTCTGAGTCCAGAGTCTCCGCAAGACTAAGCCATCTCAAGGGCAGCTTTACACCGGGTGGGGCGTGTCTCGGAACCTGGGAAACACTCCGCCTGGGCCCCTTGCCCAAGGAGTGGAGGGACAAGGGAGGAGCGAGGGAGGGGGCGAGAGGCGACCTAGTTAGCTCTCCCTCCCCCACTCCATGCCCGCCCCCTCCTTGCGGGCCGGGCCAGGCAGGGCCTCCATTCCTGCCGAGCCTGCAAGGGTTAAAGGCGGCCGCAGGTGAGGTGGGCGGGGCCGCGATTTCGGGAAAAAGGAGCGCAGGGCCGGGGATGAAGGCAGAGCGCGCGGGTGAGTCACGGGCGGAGCTGGCCTCGCTCGCTCGCTCGCTCGCGCTCGCTGGCTCTCCGCCCCTCCTCCGCCACCCGCCGCCGGGTGGGATCGCGGCCCCCGCTCGCCCTCGGCCCCTGTCCCTCGCCGCTGAAGAGCCCGCCGGCGCTCAGGGCCCAGGAGCGCCCGCTGGTAGCGCGCCAGCCAGCAGTGCCCGGAGCCCGAGCGCAGCCTCGAGGTAGGAGCCCGGGTCGGGGCGGCTAGGGGTAAGCGCTACCCGGATCCTTTCGGAAATACGCGCACGGAACGCGCCATAGCTTCCTAAGGCTTGGGGGAGGTGATCCTAAGTAACCCGAGGGGCTTAGAGCCCCAGCGGAGTGAAAACTGGGCGGACGGGAGAGGCTGGAGGGACGGATGAGGCTGGAAACTGGGGAAACTGGGGAAACTGGAGCGACTGGGACAACTGGAGGACTTGAACCTTGAGGATTGGGTGTACGGAAGTCCTGATCATCTGAGCGCCGGTGATCTGGAGAGGCAGCCTGCGGAAGGGGGAAAGCGGGTGTTTCTAGCCGCCTTCCCGCGTTGGAGAGCGGGAAGCCGGGAGTGCGCGTCTTGCTGTCTCCCTCCCGAAACCTTGTTAGTAGGCCGTGCATCACAGGACTGGGCTCCCTCTCCTGTGTCGGGAGAGGCCACTCTGGAGCCTGGTTCGTTAGACTTCCCACACCCTAGCCCCTGGGGCCGTTCCCAGGAACCAAAAGCTATAGGGTCCCAGGCCTCACTGCTCTCGCCCAGCCCCTTCTAGGCTGCCCCGCCTGGGCCTGAGGCTCCATTCCTGCTGCTTCACCCTGTTCCTTTCTTGTGGTGAGGCAGCAGGAGCCTGAGTAGGCGCCCCAGTCCCCCTCTCTCTCCCTCTGCCAGACTACCAGGGCCACCTCCCCGGTCCCAGAGGCAGAAGGTGGTTAAGAAGCTGCGGGAAGAAGTCCCTGCCCTAAACCACTGCGCCTCATCCTCCACCATCAGAGGAGGCCCAGAGGGCACAAACCCCACACCCTGGGGCACCAGGGTTCCCAGGCCTTAGGGAGAGAGGTTACCGGTAAGAGGAGAACCTTCAAGTCACTGGTATACGCCGTCAAGAAAGGTTTGGAGGTCTTTAGGTTTGTTTAGGGAAAGAGTGAAGAGACCTGGTTCACAGAGGTACATACAGTAAATATTTGTTGATTGAATGAATAAATGCATGCCTTTGTTGAGTCACTTCTCCAAATACTGCCTCAGTCTCCTCTTTTTTAAAATACGAGGGGTTGGGGCCGGCCGAGTGGCTCAGTTGGTTAAGAGCTCGCTCAAGAGTTTGAGCTCTGAGCAACAACGGTTCGAGTCCAGCCCGAGCTGAGTAGCCGCTGAGCTGCCAACCGGTAGCAGGATGGCTCAGCTAAAAAAAAAACACAAAACAAAAAAACACAAGGGGTTGGCTTGAAGCGGTGGTGCTCAGCACTTGGTTGCGTATTAAAATCATCTGTGGCGCTCTTAAAAATGATCCATGCTTAGAATGTACCCACTTATGTAATCTCTTTGGGCAATTCTTCCTTTTAATATCTGTGATTCTGGCTTTTCCTGTTACCCTCTGCTTCCCCCATTCTGACCCTGCATCCCATAAGGGGTGGCAATTGTACCTTCCTGAGCTTGCTGGTAAGCTCTTCTGTCCCTGACCCCTTCTCTGGGGAAGCTGACCCCTCCCAGCTTCACATCTGGGTCTCCCCTCTATTGGAGACGGGCATGGGCAGCAGCCAGAGAGAGCTGGCTGGCACCAGTGTGAGTCTGGACCGGAAAGGGGGCTTAACTTACTCTGGGGGTGAGAAGTCCCAGAAACTGGCACTGCAGCTGCACCCCCAGGGAGGTGAAGTCTCTGCCTGAGGGAAAGGGTTGGGGGCCAGGCAAGGAGCTGGGGGGAGTGGAGTAGAGCAGTGAAATACTCTTCCTCACTGAACCTGCCTCCCGGATGGAATGAGGGCTCTTTTTCCAAAATCTCAGAATCTGCTTTGGGCTTTGGGAAGTCCCGTCACCTCAAGCTTTGAGTTTCAGAAACAGACCACCTCCCTCTCCCCATCTGTGTCCTGAGTTAAACTAGGGAAGCTGAGATGGGTCTAGATCGTCCATTTGGGCTGGCAACAGGTCTGCTTGGGGGGAACGCCACTGCCCACTGCCCCGGTCTGGCCAGTTGGGGTGGGATGGTTTGAGCACTGTGCTGTAGGTGTATCTAACCTACCAGCCTGGGACCAGCCCAACTCCCAGGATAAGCTGGGTCCCATAGGAGGAATAATCTAGGGGAAGGTAGACTTCCACCATCCTCTGCCCTTGGCTGAGAACCTCCCATCCTCAACCCTTCCTAGCATTCCCAGTTCTCTTAACTGATCTTTAGTCCCCACTCAGGGGTGCATTTCTCTTTTTCACTGGGCGGTCCAGAAAGGGGCACTTTGCAGGGAAGGGATCTAGGCTGAGATTTGGAAGTGAGCTAGCTGTTGACTTTCCTCACTTCACCTCTTCTTTTCCTCCTTTAGGTCCCACCTGAGGTGCCCCTGACCGTCCCTGTCCCCCACCCCACCCAGGATCACGGCAATGCTAACCGCTGTTTGCGGCTCTCTGGGCAGCCAGCATACGGACGCGCCTCACGCCTCCCCGCCGCGCCTTGACCTGCAGCCTCTCCAAACATACCAGGGCCACACGAGCCCGGAGGCTGGGGACTACCCCTCCCCGCTGCAGCCTGGAGAGCTGCAGAGCCTCCCGCTGGGCCCCGAGGTGGACTTCTCACAGGGCTATGAGCTGCCGGGGGCCTCCTCTCGGGTAACCTGTGAGGACCTGGAAAGCGACAGTCCCTTGGCCCCGGGACCCTTTTCCAAGCTCCTGCAGCCGGACATGTCACACCATTATGAATCATGGTTCCGGCCGACTCACCCAGGTACCGAGGATGGCTCATGGTGGGACCTTCATCCGGGCACCAGCTGGATGGACCTCCCCCACACTCAGGGCGCGCTGACTTCACCTGGCCACCCGGGGGCGCTTCAGGCTGGTTTGGGGGGCTACGTTGGAGACCACCAGCTTTGTGCCCCACCCCCCCACCCACACCCGCATCACCTCCTCTCAGCTGCCGGAGGGCAGCATCTCCTGGGGCCTCCTGACGGGGCAAAGGCCTTGGAAGCTGCCGCCCCGGAGTCCCAGGGGCTGGATTCCAGTCTGGACGCGGCAACCAGGCCCAAAGGCTCCCGGCGGTCAGTGCCCCGAAGCTCAGGCCAGACCGTGTGCCGCTGCCCCAACTGCCTAGAGGCGGAACGACTCGGGGCTCCGTGCGGGCCCGATGGGGGCAAGAAGAAGCATTTGCACAATTGCCACATCCCGGGCTGCGGGAAAGCCTACGCCAAGACGTCGCACCTGAAGGCGCACCTGCGCTGGCACAGTGGCGACCGTCCCTTCGTGTGCAACTGGCTCTTCTGCGGCAAGCGCTTCACGCGCTCAGACGAGCTGCAGCGCCACCTCCAGACCCACACAGGCACCAAGAAGTTTCCCTGTGCGGTCTGTAGCCGGGTCTTCATGCGCAGCGACCACCTGGCCAAACACATGAAAACCCACGAGGGTGCCAAAGAAGAGGCTGCTGGGGCGGCCACAGGAGAGGGCAAGGCCGGCGGAGCGGTGGAGCCCTCCGGGGGCAAAGGCAAGCGGGAGGCTGAGGGCAGTGCAGCTCCCTCCAATTGAGCTCCTCGGTACTGCTGCCCTCTAGTCTCCCCTGGGGGGGCATCAGAGGAGAGCACCCTGGCCTGATGTCTTTGGGGAGAAGCTTAAGTAAGAAGAGAAGGTGGTTATTTATTGAGAGGGAGGAAAAGTGGTGGGGGGGCCAGGGAGAGCGGGCACTAGGGGTGTTTTAGTCTGTGGGGCTGGACTGACGACGCGTTTGACTGTTTGGCTGGGCTGGGAGGAGCCGCGCGTGCCCCTCTGGTCTCCGTTTCCTCCCTGTTTCACTCACGACCCCGGGTTGGGCATTGGGGTGGGGTACCCCTAAGGAGGGTGGAGGGGGACCCGTTGGAGGAGGCTATGCGTCCTCCAGCAAAATGGAATGGGGCCGCCCCTGGTGCTTGGGGGTAGATGTCTGGACACGTCCTTAGCACCTAGGAACCACCGACAGCCTGGGTCCCTTTCATCCCCCTCATAGTATTTCTAGGGTTTCCAGAGGGAGAGCTGAGATGGGGTAGGGAAGGTTGGGGGTCCCCCTTTGAGAGGGGTCTCTATCGGGCTGGCAAGGTTGTTGCTGTAGAAACAACTCCTTTGATGCGCTTCCTTATTAATCCTTCCAGATCCAGTCTGATGGAGCCGTGAGGGGAGAGGGGAAAGGGACCGAATCTGAGACAGCTTCCCAGCCAGAACTGTGGGGTGGAGGAGAGAGCTAGATGTAGCGGGGTGAGCACAAAAGCCCCTTTCTAAAATGAGAGAAAGGGATTTGGTGGGGACATGGAAGAAACTAACCCCTTCCCTCTTGAACTCGGATTCAGTCCTTAACTCTTGGTCTTTATAAAAACTAAAGTTCAGTAGTCCACATCCCCCATTTGTTACCCCCCCCCCATCCCATGTAAGCTTTCAAGGCAGCCAGAAGCCCTCTCTCTAGAACTGATGTAGCTCCTCATCCTAGATCCCCCATCATTTGCCTTCCCCTTGGGGATGGAAGAGGGTCACCTTGGTTTGTTGGGGGTGTCCCAGCAGAGGGACCTACAGTGATTCCCACTCGGAGTGGAGGGCGCTGTCTTTGCCTGGCCATCTGCTCACCCTAGGCTAAGCCCCACTCTTTCTTTAGCTGGACCCTCCCCTTTCCCCGCCGCCCGCAAAGCCTTAGCCCTACTTTAGAGTGTGTGTTAAGAAACTCCTTCCTCCCGCCTCCCATATGAAGGAGTCGTTCTTCCACTGGAAGGGGTCTGCCTTCTGAGGCGATGTCTGGGAGGCTGTCTCTGTTCCCTTCTTTAGATGCTAGAAATACATCCTGATTGTGATCGTGGAGTGGGGAAGTGGGGAGGGGAGCAGCTCAGCAGAGGCTAAGCCCCGCAAAGGGAAGGAAACTGATGGAAGGGTTTAGAGCTAGGCTGGAGGTAGAGGCCATTCGATTCCCCCTGACCTCCCCATGCCCCAGCCCTCTTTCTCCACCCAGAGCCCTACGTGAGGATTAGTTGTGTATTGATTTTTAAGTTATAAGCAAAGGGTATTTTATTTAATATTAGGGCACGTGTGTGTGCGTGTTGTGTGTGCGTACGTGTGTGTATGTGTGTTTCTCTACTGAGCCTGGGGTCTCCAGCCAGGGAGACCCTATCTTGTTTTCCCCATCCAAGGTCCTGGGGCCTAGGCCCAAAGTGTCTCTTCTTCCCTTGTGGATGCTGGAGCACGGTCCAAGGACTGGGAGCTCTATGGGAAATAGGGCTGGGATCTGGGTGGGACTATGTGTTTGTATAGAAGGGAGCTCTTCTTGAAAGGGACAGGGTGACTCTCCCTGAAGGACCCATGGGCCTGGGGTAGTTTAAGAAGTAATGCTCATTCTTTATGCTCCCTCTTTTCCCTACCTCCTGCTAACCCAACAAGAGGTCCCTCTCCTTGCTGAGAGGGTTGGGGGCAGGAGAGTTGGCAGTGCCTATGGGCTGCCTGGCCAGGTGGAGAGAGGGGGAGAGGGGGAGGGTACTGTGGGTGTGGGGTGTCTTTCTCCTCCACCCATCGAAACCAGCCACCCCCTCCCTGTGCCACCAGGACAGCCTTTCCCAGTGACCATTCTAAGGGGAACTCCCGAATGGGTGTTGGTGGGGGGGGGGACACGGAGTTCCCCCTGTGGAGGCCCCGAGCTCTAAGGTGTCGGGTGTGGACTTTGGTTAGGTTTTCTTCTGCTCCCCCTTTTATAGATCTAGGTTGCTTGGCTGTCTGCCCCCTTCAAGGCAGCCCCCTAGAGGAGAAATGTAGGAATTTTTTTCTTTAACTGCTGTGAACCCACTTTGTGGGGAGGGGGGGAGAGAGGAGGAAGAAACAGCCTGTGTTTTTTATGCCATAATAAAGTCATCAACCACATCCTTGCTTCATTTGTCTTCCAGCTCGGGTTTCCCTTTTGACTCAGTGTCCCTCAGCAGTGAGGACCAGGCCGGCTGCAGGGTTGGGGGGACACTTCCCTTTGATCTTGCAGCCCTGGGCAACCTCATCTCCCTTTGTTTGGGGCAGATCTGAGCTTATTGAAGGGTCCGATCCTGCCCCAGGGATGGCTTGTGCAGAAGGAGGGAGAAACTCCCTCTGGGTTGATAGCTGTGCAGACTGTCCCTCCCTGGTCTTCACCTATGGGGATGAGAAGGTTCTAGATATTTCCTTCCTCCTCCACATACAAGCCCCCTCTTTCCCCTCCCCTACCAAGAACGTGGTTCCCTGCCTGCCCAGGGATAGCCAGCCTCTTGGCACCCTCACCCCACCCCCATGGAGGTGTGTGTGTCAACTGGTCCCTCTGGCTGTGAATGAGGTGGGGGTGACTGACAGTGATTTCTTCACCCAGAGTGATCCCTATCAGGGACAAGGCGATGAAAGGCAGCCAAGATATCTGATGGGCTCCCACCCAGCTGGAAAGTATGAGGGAAAGGCTCCTACTGCAACTCCCAGATAGAGACCCGCCACAGTTACACAACCACGCTGTACACAAATGCGCCCTCACGGGATCATGGAGCGCCCTCGGATGTGCAGAAATGCCCATCTGTGCACGTTCCCAGGCTGCCCAATGCCTGGTATGCAGTTGGCGCCTAATTCATGTCAAATGAGTAAAAACCTCAACTCCAGAGCCCCAAAGCTAGGAAGGTGAAGAGAGGATCAGTTTGGAGTTCCGAGGGGACAGGGTAGGTTATTTTGTTCTTTTACCTTCCTATCCTACTTTTTTTTTGGCCAAAAAAATTATTCTTTTTTTCCCCTATTGGGATTTCTATTTCCCCTATTCTAACCCTAACCCAATTTCTCAGGGCCAAATCTGGTACCCAGGTTGGCCCACCCCATCACACGTTTGGGAGAGTTTGGGGTCACAAAGTCCACCTTGGGATGGGACATCAGAATGATTTAGGGGTCATAGAGGAAACCAGACTGTTCTGGGGGACCAAATGTTTGTTTCTATCTGCTCCTGCATTTAGAAGTCTGGAAGGAGGAGGGACAGGCATGTTTTTCCGTGACCCTTCCCACTCCTTGGGGCGCCTCTTTTGTCTTCCTGGTTCTGGGGGAGTTAGACCCCAGGAACCTGGTGAGTCCTCTGCTCCGTTTCCCCCATCGCTGCCCCCAGGGACAGAAGGGCAGCTGTGGGGCCTGCTGGGCCTGTCTGGGCAGGGTTGGGGCCTCCCCTCCTCCCCTTGCAGCTCCTCCCGCTGACCTGCATTCTTAGCGGGGGCCTTTGGTGGGGCTCTGACGCTCACTCACGCTAGTTTGCCTTGGCAGCAATGCTGTCTGGCTGGCCTGGCCCCCTGATGGAGCCCAAGGCCACCTCTGACCCCTCATATCTGGTGCCTCCCGCAGGACGATCCTGGAGGGCTTGGGAGGGAGGTAGAGAAATCAGAACATCTGGACTGACCCTCTGGGCGACAGCTCTTAGCCGCCATCTCCTCCCCTGCGAAGTGGGAGTAGAATTCCTCTAGGGTGGGTGAGTGAAATCAGGAATGGGAAAGTGACTGAGAAGCAGGCAGCCTGGGAACTGCTGCCTGGAGCTGTGCTACAGCCAACCCACACCTCTCCTCCTGCCTGTTCATGCCCCACAGCGGGTGGCTGGGGAAGTACAGGAGGTGAACCGGCTTTCCTGCTGGCCCCTTCAATGCTCATGTTAGCACGTAGCCTTGATGTTTGCTGCTGGGATGACATCCAGTGGCAACTCCACCACCGCTCCCCAACATCTCACCCAAGCAGCCTTCACCTCCCTATGAGTCCTAGTGAGCTTGACTGCTCAGCATCCCATAGTGTAGGTTTGAAAAGAATCTCAGGAACCAAACAGTCCAGTTGTTCCCACCCAGTAGAGGGCATATTAGAATCACCTATGGAGTTTTCCAAGATATCCCGATTCCCTCCCCAACACCCCACCTAGTCATGCCCCTTGGGGGTGTATTAGAGCAGTGCTTCTCAAACTTCACACCTGGGTCTTGCGAACATGCAGCTTCTGATTCAGTAGCTCTGAGGTGGGGCCTGAGATACTACAATTTTCACAAGCTTTCAGATAATGCTGATGTTGGCAGTCTGCCAGCACTTTGATAGCAGCGTATTAAAGTATTGTGTTGTGCAGTGGGAGTTGTGTGGTTGAAAAATAACCCTTCCTCACCCCACCCATGGTTGAGAACCACCGATCTAGTCCAATGCCTTCGTTTGCCACTGGGGAAACTGAGGCCCTCGCAGGGAAGTGACCTGCCTGAAGAGACCCCACAGATCGATAGCAGAAGCAAGATGAGATGGCAGGATGCAGTTCTAGGTAATGCTCCTCCCTGCCTCCAGTCCGGCTTCTAGGTCATTCTTCTCTGCAAGTGGCAGTCCCCTTTGTGAAAGTGAAGCCCATATCCCTGGAGACAGCATCCTCTCGGGACTCAACCTCGTATATCTGGAGGCAATTAGGAAATATCTCAGATTTCAGACCCCCCAACAGCCTTCTCTGGCAGTTCTCCAGCCATCACCGAGCACACTTGCCTGTAGCCTGCCTCTTGGGAAAGCCTTGACCTCTGCCTTCGTTCCCATCCCAGGAGTGACCACAAACTCAGACGCTGTGGCCAGGACTTGGAACAGCAGCCCTGATTGGTTGGCAGATGGATGTGGGAGAAGTAGATAATCTGCGAGTGTCCCCCCCCCCGACCCCCCAATTCCTGGAGGGCTCCACAGAGCAAAAGGGTGTGAGATGCATTGGCTTAAATGCTAGTTAGTTATGGAGATGGTTTATAGAGGAAAATGACCTACACCTCCTGGCCTGGTCACGCTTATAGATCTTATTGGGGAGGTGGGTGGGCACCAGCCTGGAACTGTGCCTTTAGAATTCAAACCAGGGCACGAGTAGGAGGTTCTTTCTTTTTTTTTTTTTTTAGCTGAGTCATCCTGCCACTTGTTGGCAGCTCAGCTCCGGCTAGGACTTGAACCGCTGTTGCTCAGAGCTCACACTCTTGAGGGAGCTCTTAACCAACTGAGCCACTCGGCCAGCCCTAGGAGGTTCTCTCTTTCTTTTTTTTTTTCTTTTCTTTCTTTCTTTCTTTCTTTCTTTCTTTCTTTCTTTCTTTCTTTCTTTCTTT